TCTATCGTTCGTAAGGAAATATTAGTCAGGGATGAACTATTCACTAAATGCGCTCATTAATAGGGGCTGCAACATGTAAACTTACCTTACTCCCCCTGCAAAACAAGCTCTTAGCTTCTAAATCGATTGAATTAAGTCACAAAATAAAACTTCTAGGCGAACGAAAACTAAAGGTGCAATAATAAGAAAACCATGAGTGCTTCGTAGATTAGCGCAAATCTAGACTACTCACTTTTCGAATTGAAGTGGAATGGATCTCCGCCGAAAATTTAAGAAGCTTTTGACCTGCTTATTTTTCAAAATTTAAGCCGATAGCTCGATGAAGCTAGCTGACTAAGTATGATGGTCTGGATTATTTTGTGTGTTCTTTTCACACTTTCACACTGATCTCTGAGATCGACTGAAATGAATTTAACACTATCATCTTGAGACCACGCTATTTTATCGTCGTTTGCTTTGACGCCTTTATTGAGCGCAGCCGAGCGCCTTTCATTTCGAACACTGCGCCATCTGATGTATACTCCGAGAAACGAAGAGTCGCTCGAGGAGGTTGGTTTGATTTCGGAGCACTGGAGGACGCGATGAAGCGCAAAACTTGCTGCTGAGCTTCCAAGGCATTTCCATTCAGATATTTTGATCAAGTGCTGCATCAAGTTTGGTCTACTCAAACACGCTGTCAGTTATAATTCACGAGAATTAACCAAGGACAGAGGCTTCACTTATTTGTATCCGCATCAAATTATTTTAAAATTTTTTTTCTTAACATAACCAATCAGTTCAAGTCTTTTCTTTGATGTCTAATATAGATCTCTTCTTTGAAAGTTTTAGTTTATAAAAAAAATACAAACATTTAATAGTTTTTTTAGTTACAACTTTTTTTAAAATGTGAATGTTTTTTTTTCTTTTTTTTTTTGTCTACCCTAAATTTTTGAGATGACTGTAGCTTGTTTCTACACGCAGATATTTTTATTTCTATTACCTATTTATATAAACAAGTTTTAGAAGTACTTTTATGACGTTTGTCATATGACGTAGCCAGGAGGGAGGCCCATGGGGCCCGGGCCCCTTGAGAAATCTTCCATTTTGATGGGACCTCCTCTCCCCCCTCCCCTTCATACGGCATTTTGTCATGGACGCCCCCCCCCCCCCCCCCCCCCCCCCCGATACAAAATCCTGGCTACGTGCCTGATATGACCTTTACAAAAGCCGGGGCTTGTAGTTCTGAGTCATTACATAATTATTGTGCCTTCATATAGTGCAGTGAAACCACACACTTAGAAATACATGCATGTGCCGATACTCTCCAAAACAACACAATAAGGCAATCATATAAATCTGGAAATGTGCAAGTTAGGCCTAATCCCACCCCAAACATTCAATCATTGCTGGGACTTTGAGCAAGTAAAATGCTAGGCACAGTGTTCCAAACTCAGTGGAATTTCGCTGTCGAAAAATAGCTTTCCTCTTTATCAGTTGGTAGATCCAGTTAACGTATTAAAGGCAACTGGTTCTTGGCATTTTTTTTGCAAAAATAGGAGATGCATGGGCGTCGTTTTCAGTATGGCGTAAATAATAAGACATTTTATTTTTGTGTATCATTTACATGGCAGCAGGTTTTGCGATATGAGTCCAAAACCGCGGCCGTTTGTTGATCTCAGATTTGTACGTAAAGTGTTACAAGGAATGAATTACTTGTAATATCGATTACATTTTACTGTAATTTTGTAACACTTCAATTACTTCCTTTAATAAGTAACGATCCTTGTAATTGAACACCGTTATGCTGTTATCGATTACAAATTTACCCATTACAATTTCTCTCAATTTTATTCTTTCTTTTTTTTTGGAAAGGGGGGGGGGGGGGTTAGATGTGCTGGAGTCACTCAGCTCTGCGCAACGGTAAATTTTTTTTTTCTTTTTCGAAACCACTAACCACGGGACCTCGAGAATTAGTAGGCCAGTTCACTGTGCTTCGGTTCCTGGGTACATCTTTTTTTGGTACACCCGAGACTACGTCCGGGTATAAAAAATGAATTTATCCAGCCTCTTGTGAGTAATGTAGTTAAACACCGAATTTGTTATTAACTTTTTTTAACGAAAAGGATTGGCGCCACTTGCTCAGCTCTAGGCAAAAACAATGAGGCCTTTATTTTTCGAACAGCTGAGTGTTTTTTTTTTTTTTTACGATAGCATAATCCTTGGGGTCTCCCCAAGGATTATGCTATCGTAATAAAAAAAATGTTAAATAAAAAGTAACATGGGAAGTAATCGATTACTTCAGAGTAATTTTTCGAGGTTGTAATTGTAATTTTAATTGGTTACTTTTTACAGTTAAGTAATTGTAATTGTAATCGGTTACTTTTTTTTCAGCAACGTTTACAAGTATGGTTGATCGCCAGTCTTATACATACCTGTCTCGTGCGTCCCTCAGATTTTCGCCTTCTTCCAGTGGGACAGTTGGTCACTACCAGCGTTTGAGAATCTCCTCCAGAATATTTTAAAATAGGTAATATAAGTACATATAAGTACATCACTTAACACTCTCAGGCAGCCCTGGTCCCGGTGGCATGAAAGCCATCTTTACCCTTCCTTTTTATTCAGAAGAATATCTCTCTCTCTCTCTGTCTCTCTTTCTCTTATAGCTATGTCACCAAACTCAAAATCTCTTGAACGTTTTCAAGCCACACCACACCCGAAGATACAAAACATTGACAATATTCTAGTTGCTTTTGTTGGATGTCTAGTTTGCTCGACATATTGAACATGAGGCAATCAGAATAGCTTTCCTCGCGCATTTAGTATAATGGCGTAAGGCTTTCGCATGCATTGCTGGCAAGCCTGTCATGACAAGAAAACGTCGTTCGCATATAAAGCATTTACACTGAGAAGGTTTAGAGGAAGTTCACACTGTGATATTGATATTTATTTATTTTTTTTTTTTTCGGGAGAGCCGCATCGCCGCAGTAAGGCTAGTCGCCCATACCATGGAGGCCCGCCGCGCCGCGTGTAACGATGGTGAAATGGTAATGCACAGATGGAAGAAAAATGGACATCATGGTTCAAGCGAAGCTTGTGGGCGAGGGTGAGGTTACGGATAATTATGTTACATTTTTCTTCTGTCTTTGCTGCGGCTGCTTGTAGAGCGGTCTTGCAACGCCGCCACATTGTGATAAAACACCGGACGTAAAGGGGGCGGACGGGACGAGGATAAGGGTTTGTGGGCACGTCTCCGCCGAGTTAAGTGCAGCCAGATGAAGTGCGCCGTTCGGGGCTGCTGTGGTCACGCCGGGAAGCAACGATCATGTAGGGCTAACACTCAGCCAATGAGAGACTGGAATGTAAGGCGGCTGTAAATTGCGAGCATGTAAAGAAGCGATATTCTCACGGTACACTGTGGCCAGATGCATGTGGGTGATAGGCGTCGTGGTGTAACAGTGCCTCCAGATGGTTACAATCAAAATAAGTGCCCGCAGCCAAGCGAAAGATGGTAGCTTGATCATCCTGATCTGATTCCATATGAGGAATATGAGGACAAAGTTATGTTAAACGTTTCCCTTAAAACAAAAAAAAAGTATATTTTATAGCAATATAGATGCCTAAATACCTAAATAATGAAAACACAATTGATCGAATACATTTCTTTAAACGTACAGCTCTGTTTTTTTTTTGCGAACGTACGTACTTGTTATGCATTTAAACACAAAATTATAGTAAAATTAAGCCTTATATACATTCGTGTATTCTAGAACTGAGGAATTAGTAATACCAGTATAGACACCTGGCACAGGTCTCCGTGTAATTGAATCCTACATCTTCGTTTAGATTATGCACTTTCTTTTATTTCACCTGCCAGGTTGAACTTGAAAAAAGGAATGCCACGATATGTGACATGGGCAATATTTAGCATAGCCAAAGTAACTGTTAACCGTCGTATAAGTATACACCCTGAAGTAAATTGTAGAAAACGCCTTGCAAGATCACTCAAGTTCCAGTATTCGCATGAACCTGAAGTTAACATAAAAAGGCGAATGACAGCTCTAGCTCCACGTTATTGTATATCTGGTCCAGGTTACGTAGTAGGGGCGCACGCATGAAATGAAACCACTGTGGAACCGACTTTGGCATTCAGAGAAAATCTCGGACGTTACAACAAATTTTGATTGCGTGTAGTTTTGAAAATATTCAGTTCGCACTCACTCTCTTTCAAAAGCCGACATTTATTGAGCAAATACAAACAAATATACCAGAATAAGAATGTAAATCTATTATGCTTAATACGGCGTGTCAAAGGTATGCCAACAAAAATGTATAATTTATCTTGTTTTTATTGTTTTTTGTCGCCAATGTGGAATGCGAAAACCATCAAGGAAGTCAACTATGTTGAAGTCACATTAGAGAAGTAATGATTTCAGGAAGTCAAATATAGGAAATCGTTAAAAGAGGGGGGGGGGGGGGTGCAAACTTTGTTAAAATCAAGATTATCTGCGCAGAGATGGAACTTGCTGAATATTAGACCGCAGAAATTCTATGCTACATTTCGGTAGTGTAAACAAAATAGGTAAGGAGTTTTTGTTGTTTTTGTATTCTTTTTTTGGTGAGGTAATTTTCATTGATTTCGCCTCCTTCGTGTGTCATTTTTCGAATCTCACCGGTTCACACTAGTAGCCCAGAATGCTTAAAGTGGAAAATATGCATTACAAAATAAATGTATTCTTTTATAAATACGAGAGAAACTCGAGCCGTACGATGAATGGTGCACGACCGAAAAATTAACTTGGACCGGGCTTCGATACCAGGATTTATTCATAACCCGGCTCCTGGTTAGCACATTCTGCCAAATGTGCTAACCAGGAGCTAGGCGTCAGTGAAGCAAATAGATGTTAACAGCTTCCACAAGCCAAAAGAGCAGATTTCTTTGCCAAAGAAAACGGCATTGATCATCATGTAACGTTGGTGTTGCTTGTTTTTAAACTCACTGCAAGAAAAGTAACGAGATGAAAGGATGACACGCATGTCATTAAAAACGAGCATTGCAGCATTGGACCAGTGGTTTCTTGGATCATAGCTGTGATTTCTCCAACTTGTCTTCGGATCTGTGTCTGCCATTCGTTTCTGACTTCAGTCGTGTTGGTCGATCGAGTATCATCTTTTCGAAACGCAGCGTGGGTGCCTCGACCATCAGGTGAACTAAGTAGGCGAAGAAGATGCTCACAGTAAAAACTCCAGCAGCCAGAAGGAACTGAAAACGAAGAAACCAAAACGTAGTACCCAAAACCGGATAATGCTGCATTATTTCCATCATAAAACGCTGTTGTAGCTAGCAGGCACCAAACATCGCGAGACCTAAAAGATTTATTGTGTGACGCAAACATTCTTAGCGAAAACTGTCAATGTAGGATATTTCCAGTATTTTAAGTGACATTTTATATCACAGATGTCGAGTCAATAGAGAGGGGGCAAGATTATATAGGCCAGCCAAGTAACAAAAGTTTGATACTGCTAATCTGCGTGATATGATATTAAAATTCGGACTTGAACACCAATAGTGCTTCAACCGAAGATACTCACTTGGAAGAATTCATCCATCTGTATCAGAGTTCTGACTCGCATCGAACGGAGATAGAAAACGAGTCCATGAACCAAGTATATGCAGTAAGTAAGCCGAGACAATGTCACGAAGAGGTTCCAGCCGAGAAACTTGTACAAGAGGCCTATTGATTTAAAATAAAATTAGTCATTACAAATGTTCGGAAATATATGATGGGGCGTTGCAAGTTGTAGAGGACATAATATATTTGTTTTCTACGGATCACCTTACTAATGACTTTTTCGTCAAGGTTTGACTTGTGTTGTTTAGGACTGCATTTGGGTAGACCATATATCCTTAAAATCTTAAATACCATAAGGGGTCATATTCACCTTAACACGAATTATACATATAAATGTTATAAACTGCGCAATGAAATAAATAGCTAGAATTATAATTCTAAACTAACCTTGGTGGTTCTTCGTTTTACATTTGGATAAGAACTCTGCTATTTAGGCACGATGATAATTGACATCTTTACTGGTTACTATTTCAGGCGCGCATCCCTATAATGTAGTGGGAATGCGTGCAAAAACCAAAAACCAAATCTCGGCGTCATAGCTCAGTTTTAACGAATGAACGGGTTATGCTGCTGGCAATTGAAGTGGTGCAATAGATAATCAGACTTCCTCGATTTTGAATGGGGTGAAAATATGAGGTTAGCTGCACCCCAGATTAAACAATGTAGAAGCAATGTGGTCGTTGCTCACAGAGTAGAATAAGATGCTGCGCCTCGTTATTGTACTCGTTTCAAATGGACTTTCACTGTTTATATTACTGGTCAACAACTAAAAGATGCATCCCTGTTCGAGTACAAGACGTTTGCGTCTTTCCGACTGAAAGTGCGCTAGGATGAGTTGCACATATAAATATATGATCTAACCAAGATAAATTGCGATTTTCAAATCGTGAATTTGTTTTAGAGCGCAGCTCTTAGGGGCCCGTTTCCGGCTCGAGCGGCGTCGGCGTCGCCGTCGCCGTCGGCGTAACCGCGAGGTTTCGTGACCCCCCAGGTCACGTGACCCCCCCAGGTTATGTGCCCCCTGATGTGACCCCCTGAGGTCACGTGACCCCTTGAAGTCACGTGACCCCCTGACGTCAACAGACCCTGCCGAGGTCACGTGACCCCCCCCCCCTTGACGCCACATGACTCCCCCTGAGGTCACGTGACCCGCCACCCCAAGGTTACGTGACCCCCTCCCCCCGAGGTCAGGTGAGTCCCCTTACGTCACACGACACCCTCTGATGTCACTTGACCTCAAGGAGTACGCTTCCCACCTCCTCCTCAAGAGCTGCGCTCTAATCCGGCGTTACAGGGAATCGTAAACGGCTTTCATTTTTTATTTCGCAAATTACTGCCGACATAGAAGCGCCATATATTGGGTGGAGTAACCAGCGCATGAAGTAACTTTTGTGTTATCTCTTTTCGAGGTAGAAAACATAAAACAAATATCCCCCCGCAACTTGAATTTTAAACATTTCCATTTTAACTAAACGCAACAGGAGTGTACTTAAACATCTCGTGAAATCAAATATGATCGAAAATCCTTTGTACGAGTTCGGAGCCCACCGTCGGAGCCACCGTTCAGTGACCGCCAGGGTATATGCGGCTGGTAGGTAACACGCAGCACGTGGTCAAACCGAGTTCCTGTCAACTAAAGAAACACGAGTCGTGACGAGTCCGGGGCAACTCATTCGCGCTCCGCAGTCAGCGAGGTTTTGGCACCAGCCGACCAGAACGCCGCCAAACAATGATCACGAAACAAAAAGCGTCAACAGAACAATTCAGGCCCTTGGTGTATTAAACTGACGGTTACTCAATTAAGAGAAAACCGTTGCCCTTGCTACAAAAGCTCAGCGCAACAAGTACATGGGACTGTTCAGGGCCAAGGTCCACCATGAACTTGTCAAGCTCTTCAGTGTTTCTATAGAGTCGATGGAAGCTAAATACATGCGGGGCATTGCATTAGTATGTTCACGCTTGTCGCTTCCTTACACGTTTCTTGTTATTATCGGCTTATCAAGAAAGCACACTAGCTGCAAAGCAATAATGAGCCGCTTGGTGGTGGCACGCCCCGCATTTCTCAAGTTATCAATGACTATGACCGTCCCGTCCCGTCCGTCTAGCGTGCCGTCAATATTTTTTTTTGTTTTTCTTTTCTTAAAAAAAATGACTTTTGTTGTTGAAAATGAAGCGAGCGAATGTTCCCAGTCAGTTTAAATTGCTCTGGCTTCTTTTGTCTTTTTATTATTTCTGTTTAAAGTGACTACGAAATCGTTTGTTCTTAAACAGGAAGGTTTGTACGACACTCAGCTTATTCGCGATTCATAATTGGCCAAGAGCCAAAGTTTTGAAGAAATATGCATGCAAGAGTCTACAATCTGCAGCCCTCTGCTTTATTGCCAGTGTTTGTGACGTTGAGGTCAAGTTCCGTCAAGTCCTGTTATATATGTTTTCGACTTTAATTCTTACCACAGAAAGAGTACGTGATTGAAAAAAAATGGACATACCTCCTCGGCCAGTGGCGCATGCGTACGAAGGCCAAAAGCACGCGAGCGCCCAGAGCGTGCGGTGGAACCCTCCAAAAAGTGCGGCAGTGACGTCGTCTGGTGTAGTTCCATTGTTCCACGGATACGTGACGAAAATGACGAAAGTCCATAAGGCAAAAGATACAAGCCACAGAATGTTCTGCACCAGCTAGAAACACAGAATTAAATGAAGAATTGAGCAGGAATTGTTCGTGGCACAAAGAACAATAAAATATATTACTTTTTAAAATTCCACAACCATTAAACTTCCATGGTAAAGTTAGAAGAAAAAAGATTCGTAACAGAGCCTGAGGTGTAGGAGAAAGAAGTAGATGCAAAGAACAGATACTCCAGAAATTTCAAACGGATTTATTTCTAATGAGGCACCCTAAATACGTCCGAGGTGTTTCTCGTGAATTGTGGAAACACATGGGTCATGCGAAATTTCCTTTTTGCATTTTTTTTTTTCTCTCATGAGTGTTGGTTTTACACGAGAAGGAACCGTTATAGCTAAGGTTCCGCGTTTTCGGTTTCTAGTTTTACAAAATTTGACGTACTTTTTTGGTGTTCATTTTAAAATCCAATGTTCCGTTTTTTTCGGCGTATATTTATGCCCAGAATGGTTTACCGTTTTTTTTTCCAGTGAATATAAAATAAACACCTACGGACAACGGATCAGATAATCCTTGTAGCTCTGATACTTGTGATCATTGCAAGAATAACGGCACAGATGCATTGAAAATTAAATGGACACTTTATTCGGCAAATGTGTGTAACTGTAAAAGAAATAAGAAAAAAAAAACACAGACGTACAAACAAGTCAGACATGAAGCCTAGCTATGCCCAAACAAATATGGAACTTCACCTTCTGTACATCAGGATTACGTGATCGTATTATAGTACACACACATGTACTTTCCCAGGTTCCCCTCCTTGATCCGCACCCTTTGTTTCCTGTTAATATATCCCTGCAACTTTGAAAATGCCTCTCAGTACTAACACTGGACACTGGCAGGCCGAGGAGATGAAGCGCTGCCTGAGCAAAATCGGCCAATCATCTAATTGTTACCGCCAAAAAAGGCACGGTGCGACGTTTTGAAGCACAGCACAACATACAGAGCTTGCATGAAGTCAGTCTTTTTTACAAGAAGTTTGAAAACACGTTCGTACATGGCGAAGTCACGGGGCATTTCGGAGTTCACGTTCCGATCGATGATGTGCACATTAAACCAAAACGTCGTGATGCCGTCCGTGTATCTCATACATTCGGACACGTTTCGATACACACTGTCGTTCCGCTTTTTCGCCACGGCTCTGCGGTACGACTGGAAGGTCAAAGTAACCTTTTCCGGTTAAAACTTATTTTAGAAAACGAATTCGATGAACTTTTATCGGTTTTTGTCGGTTTGAATTGAAAATCCCGAACCTAAAAACTTACCTTTTTCGGTTAAAACCGAATTTCAGAAAATAGATTTTGCGTACTTTTTTAGGTTTTTATCGGTTTAAATCAAAAACTCTGAACCCTAGCTATTACTTAGGACCATCAAGTCCTAACATTTGTTTTTCAGAATGCACCCACGCTGGGGTCCCTCAGCTCCAACATGTTGCCTTGCTTTGTTTACCTGAATTTATTTCAGCTTTTTTTATATGAGCCCTCTGACGGCAGAAAACGAAACACAGGCGTCACGATGAATATGATCACTTTAATGACATTTTGTAAAAATAAATTCGACCCAAATGGCAATTTTCGATGGTAAGATTCATGATAGGAGCTGCGAGAGAAACTTGTTGCGAGAGAAACTCAAAAGCTAACCAAATCATCTAGATTAAAAAATATATATATAACTTTGTTTATGTTATGGCATGTTGTTTTATGAATGAATTAAGCGTTAAGTTAATTATTTGTGACTTCTATCGTTTTCCTCTGTTTTTTTAATCCAAAAATATGATAAAAATTAAAACAAATCGAGGTTTGATTTTTTTTTTTTTTTGCTATTACCAAATGGTTTTTAGGTAGTACTGGAAGAAGATTGAGCTGTATTCAGCATAAAACTACTTTGTGTCTCGGGCAGAGAAACAGCTTACTCCCAAGCCTACGATATATTTCAGAGTGCAATTTGACACGGATATAAATAACTGTAACTTTGAATTTGCGAAAGAACCGTCAGTGTTTCCCATGAAATCACCGGCGAAGTCAGACAAAATAATGTGTGCAACCAGTTGTATAGTCATGACATGTCATCTATATCTGTGTAATAAAAGAAACTGGGCCGTCATTGAAAACACGATGGTTCAAATGAACTCATTATCTAAATATCTACATCGCCGGTAAACACATTTTTTTTGTTTTATTATTTTTTTTTTTTTGGTTTAGGCTTTAAAAAATAGAAATAAAATGCCTGTGCATACTTTCGTGAACGTGATGTTGGTATAGGCAGCCGGCAATGGCCAGGTGGCCCGGCAGAGTGAGAGCCCACGGTTATACCCTGTCTCCTTGTAACTTGGCAAAGGGTGAACGATAAGCCCCACACCGCGTGCCGAAGGCTTCGAAATGCGCGACGTATACGAGAGCAACGCACACATATTGGAGCATGACGCAGCGAAAAGCCTGATGCTTCTTCGGAGCAGAGGCGCGCTCCGGTGATACGCAGTCACGTCCCCATTGGCCCGCCAGGGCAGTAGCTTCCGCTGTACTGGCATGTTACGCGATCACGGCGTCCTGGGATACCCAGTATTTCGTGCTTTAGACACCAAGCTAAGCGGCGCCACGAGAGTAAAAGCTCACGTTTGAATAATGCAGCCGCCACTCCCTCGGGTACCCAATAAATTTTGCTTCAGTCGCTAGATGGCGCCAAACCAAACAGCATTGCAGGTTGCCTATAATTCACCGAGAATTAAGCGCTGCCATCGTAGGCAGCCCCGCTATCTTCGTTCTAAAGGTTTTCACATGGTATGAATGATAAGAAATGCCTCTATCTACGCTCCTCAAATTTCTTTTTGATGAACGCTAAGAGATCTGATTGCTTTTATGCCTTTTTTATGTTTTTGGGCGTAGGACTAAAAGAGCCAATTCTGGTACATGGGTGTCATTCCTTCCAAGTTGAAACATATTTTGCCACAATACGTTCTCACTGTTATACCAAAGGGGATATGTAACGAAGCTTTGGACATTTCAATGTCATAAGTGTACTTGTCAAATCTATGTGATCGTACAAAGTGATAAGGCATGGCTTTTTACAAAGCACAAAAAAAAGGATACGCTAAAGTTCTCAGGTGTCATCTGCCTTTCACTTGGGCTATTTCCTTAAGTAGTGTAATTCTACACTAATGGCTTTAAAGACGTTTCTTAAAACTCATAAACTGATTCAGGAACTTTTTTAGACACTTTTGTAAACCTTCTTACATATTTCACGTGGCAGCGTACGAGGCCGAATTGGCTAAATTCACATTTTATTTATTTATTTATTTATTGAAAGTACCCTCAGGGCCCGAAGGCATTACAGAGGGCGAGAGCACATACATGAAACAAAGATAGTGATATAGTAACAAGTCAACAATATTAAATGTACAACAAACAAAGAATAATAATAATAATAGGTCATGGGTCACTGCTAAAATAGCTAGTGATGGAATTTCTAAACAAGTTAGTATCAGTTATAGTAGCAATCAAACCGGGGAGGTGGTTCCATTCCTCGGCTGTGCGGGGTAAAAAAGAAGATTGAAATGTAGTGGTAAACGAACTTGGAACTCCAACTTTATGCTGATGGTCAAGACGGGATGAAATGTAAAAGGGGGGAGTAATCATCCGATTGCGTAGGAGAGGGTTATGAAAATACATTTTATGAAATAGACATAGGCGTGAAATTTTACGTCGCAAGGAGAGAAGTGGTAAACATAAACTATTTTTCATTGATGTGACACTAGCAGTACGATGGTAGTTGGAAAGAATGAAACGGGCTGACCTATTCTGAATGGATTCCAATGCAGTGATTAGAGTATCGTGACCGGGATCCCAGATGGAGGCTGCATATTCTAATTTAGGCCTGATTAATGTTTTGTAGAGGATCAATTTTAATGAAATAGGTGCCAATGAAAAGTTGCGTTTTAAGTAGCCCAACATGCAGTTAGCACGGGTAGTAACATATTGAATGTGGGGTTTCCATGAAAGGTTATTTGTTAAGTGAACACCAAGGTACTTGTACGTTGCCACTTGCTCCAAAAGGTTGCCACCTAGGTGGTAACAGGGACTGTTGTTAGGCTTGCGGGACACTCTCATTTGTTTACATTTACTAGTGTTTAGTTTCATTAGCCATAATTCACACCAACGAGAGACAGAGTTAATATCAGACTGAAGTGTAGACAGGTCAGAATCGTGACAGATTTCACGGTAAATTACACAGTCATCGGCAAGGAGACAAACGGATGAAGACACATTAATGGGAAGATCGTTAATATAGATTAAAAATAGTAGTGGGCCTAAAACCGACCCTTGAGGAACTCCAGAATTCACAGACACGGGAGGAGAATTTTCGTTGTTAATTGTTACAAATTGTGAACGGTTATTTAGAAAAGACCGAATCCATGCGAGAACGTTAGGGTCAATGTTAAGTTTTGAAAGTTTTAACAGTAATAGCTCGTGACACACCTTATCGAATGCCTTGGCGAAATCTAAGAAAATGCAGTCCACCTGGGAGCCTCGGTCAAGAATAGAATGAATGTCATGAGTGAAGGATAGGAGCTGAGTATCACAAGATAATGATTTACGAAATCCGTGCTGTGCTTCGGTGAAAAAATTATTCGACTCTAAGAAATGTACGAGTTGGGAAAAGATAATGTGTTCCAGAAGTTTACATGGTTACCGAAATTAAATCAACATAAGGAATTATTCGCGCGACATTGAATCTAACGCTTTGAGAATCGCGTCACCAATGGAGTACCGAACGCCATCTGTTTGTGTTTAGCGGCCTGTGGCATTATTTTAGAATAATTTTTCATTTACACGTAATACTCACTAACAGCACGGGCAGAAAAAAAGGCGGGGAAAATCAACTTACCCAATGAATATGCGCCTCCTTGTGAACGAAGGCTGAGTAGCCGCACAAAATGCCTAAAACGTACGAGCCCACATGCGTGAACGGGCGGAAGTAGATCAAACTCAGTGCCTCCGACAATTTTCTGTGCAGAAAAAATACAGTTCGGACATTGAGAGCATATTAAAGTGTTATCGTAACAAATACACCTTTTTTTGCGTTTGATTTTTAACAGTTATTGCTTTGTGATTCAGCCATCTGACAAAGCTACCACCGTTCGCTGTAGATCTCATTAGCGAAATTCGGGAGCTAAAGTGACAGAACACGGCACATTGATGCGTATGCGCCGAGAAAGTGAGTGAGAGGAGGAGACGGGAGCGCGCGGGGTCGTCAGAACGCCGAGCTCTGATTGGAACGATTAGTGGGTAGACATAAAGCTGGCTGCTTTTGTCTCCCCTGCACTGGTCGAATGCCTTCGAATGCAATACCCAAACGTCAGACGCCTGCGTTCCGCGTTCTAACGCGTTCGACGAGTGCAGTGAAAGCTGCTAGTTTTAGGCAGAAATGTACAAGTTTCTCAGAAAAAGTAATTAAGTTAAGTTACTGAGTAATGAAGTCAAAAGTAATTTGAGTAGAGTAGAAATTACTCAAATAGAAAGTAATTGAGAAAATTACAGATTACCGTAATAAAGTAGCGAATTACTTTTGAAGTTACTTTTATATTTTTATGGTAAAAATAAAGTACGGAGGTTTTAATCCGGTAGCGAAAATGTGCTAGTCAATTATGAATCGGCTTTTTTTTTTTTTTTCTCACACAGAAATGTTTTAATAACTGGTTCTGCTTCTGCGTGGCTAATTGTTTTGTACTTTCTTGTTTGTTTGGCCAGTAATTTTGTTTTTCTACTTTGAGGTTTAGCACTGCCTGAGCTTGATTATTTAGAGAGTGTTTGCTTGTTTACAGTGTTGCGTAAAATACATCTAAAAAGTATTTGAAGTAAAGTTCAAAGTAAATTAGAGGTTATGTACTTCAAGTAAAATAGCAAGCACAGCGGTTTAATGTACACCCGCCGGCAATATGAAGGTGAACACCTTCCCTGGTTTCTTGCCTGTTTTACGGCTCCCTAAAGCTATATTAACTCTCAACGTCTCAGATGGTACGTGGCTTGGCGGTCTAAACTTTGCGTTCTAGCCCTCTTCTGGAACAGAGTTTGTTCCAAAACTTGCAGGAGCGTCAAAAACAAGAAGAAGGCTGTTCACCTTCATATCGCTCACGGGTGTACTTGAAGTAACGTATCTAAGTGCAATATATTTCAAGGCAAAGTACAAGTACTTTTAACACAACCTTTCATGATGCCGTTTCACTCCCTATACAGTGTTTTTTAACTGGTATGCATTGCTCCAGGGGTAATCGGAGGTGAATCCGTCTTTTACGGAAATGGCAGCAAATATTGTCTAAGGTCAAGCCGCTGCAGAGTGGTTGGTTCACTCTCGCTGACGAGCTATTTGACACAATCAACTTATAAAACATTTATGTCCATCGGTCTTACAGCCGCCATTACTTTACCCGGAGAAATTACCAGATGACGTCTCGAAAGAGCGATTTTTTTTTTTCACACGACAATACCGGCATTTTTTCTTTTCAAAATCGGGGAATGTACATTGAATTCGGGAGTTTTACTTTCCTCGGAAAACGTAAGTACATGTTCAAAAAATTTATTTCAAGTAAAGTAAAATGTTTCTAAACAGTAGTACTTAAAGCACCATGTACATGGAGTACTTCCCAACATTGCTTGTTTATTATTTTTTATATCAACACGTTTGAGGGAATTACTACAGGTTTCTCGAACAATCTTTGAAGATCTGCATATTCAGAGTTTTGGGAGGAAAGGCAACGCAGAGAGGTAATCTTTGCGTTGCCCTTTAGCACGCAATTCTTCGAGTACAGCACAAAATACGGGAGCACCAGATGAGTTTCAGAGCAGATGCTGCATTTCGTTGCCTCCTTTGAGTGAGGATGCAGTGTTTGCTCCTCCTGTATTAGGCGAGAGTTTCTACGTTTGGGATAAGCGGGCACCAGCCCTTTTTTTAAATGGGTCAAGTCTCCTTGATCTTCGGGATACCGAGAAACGCCAGTCCTCGGCGCAAATTCCGCAGTTACTCGGCCTCTCTTGCGTCGTGTCTGTTCGCTTCCGCGCCTCGTACCAGTGATGTTGCAGTGCGTGTGTGTGTAAGGGGGGGGGGGGGGGGTTCTTGTGAATTTTTTTTTGGGGGGGCTTCCGATTTTATAAATTATTTTGTTTCCCCCCCTTCCTACACCACGTGCTTCCCCCTCTTTGCAGATATCAGTCGATCTTTCAACACCTTATATTCTTTGTGCAGGAACGTTTGTCGATAGGCAAAACAACCACTAAAATTATAAACTAATTTGTAACTTGAGTAGAAGTTACTACAAAAAAGTAATTAAAGTACACTACTAATTACCGAAGTAAAAATGTAATGGAAAGTTACTAAACTACTCAGAAAAGTTGTTAAACTACAGTAACTTGAGTAGTGTAGTTGAACTACGTGTAAGTCTGGCTTTAGGTTGCCCTCTGATCGTTCCAGCCAGAAGTCGGCGTTCTGACGTCCCCGAGCGCTTTCCTCCTCTCTTTCACTTTCTCGGCGCATTCAAACTGTATCCGGACAGTGGGTCTAACTCAGCAATAACATGGAAAGACGAACCCTGTTGGGTAGGAGACCAGACCGTCGTGCCCCAAGCGGCTACCTTTAGGACTACACCGATGGGGACAACGAATAACAATGACTCAGCGCTCGGCCGACGTGCCGAACGCCGCGTCACCGTTCGGCTGGAGTTCGTGTTCTCCGGTCGCCCGAGGGGGAGGACGGGCTCTTTTCTTATCACTCCGACCTGCATGCACAATGCAGCATGACGGTGCACATGCCGAGCAAGCACAAAAGCCAAAGTGGGTCAAGCTCGCATTCTCTGAGTGCTTTTGGAAGAGATCCGTCGCTAACAATAAACGTCACTTCGTGCATTGTAAGCATTTTAAGCTTACACTGTTCCCCGCGCTCTGTTGAAGATTACGTGAACATGACTACATAAATGCCCGTGGCCGTGTCCACGGGCCTTGTGTTGGGTGAACACTGAGGTATGGGGACAACAAACGGGTTTGAGCGCCTCCTATAGTTCGATATACTCGCCAATACGGCGTGCAAGTTTGTCTCCTCCTTGCGCTACTCGTGTATTTTTTTATCCGCAAATGCGTCCTTGAGCTTTTATTTCCACCTGATGTGAACCAACGACGGCGTATGCTTGGCTTCCACGTCATCGCGCGTTCCCTCCGCGTTTTCTATGTTGTCCTTTAATTGACGTTCCTTTCCTCGCGTTCCGATCGACCCAAGGGGCATTTGTGGAGCACTTGCTCGTCGATTATAATTCCTGACAGTTTCACAAATGCAGGGCTCTGTTTATAAATGTTCGCCGTTTCTAGCTTCGTACCTATGCTCTTTGGCGTTCTTATCTGCAAATTCCGCAATCTAACTAGGCTGTGGAACGATAACAACATGCACCAAATATGCTATGCCGGGCGTTTTTAAAGCAGTCAGTGACGAGATAAAAGCAATAAAATAAAATAAATAAATGATGAATCAGTCATACCTCAGTCTGTGTACACTTGGAGAAGTCGCGCAGGTTTTGTACAACTTCAATCACTTCAAAAACTTGCCCAGGAAGTTTTCGACAGCCATTTTCTTTTAAAGGCTGTTCTTTTAGAATAGTAAACTTTTAACGGATACGTTTATATCAATTCAGTATTTGACTAGCCACCGCACAGCTTTCACTGAACTACATATTGTATTCGAGATACCAATCTAACTACCAAAAGCATACAAACAATTCTAAGACACCGCTCATTCAATTTCACAAAAAAAAAAAACAGTGATGGTGCAGGTGAGCTGGTGTAGAGTTAAAATATTTTTAACTCACATGATACTGGGTGGCAAAAAAAAAAAGACTTGGGAGTGGAAGGGAGCGGATCATAATGACTGAAGGCAAATCGAGACATAGCTTTTTGTAATTTTTGTTTTCCTCAACTTTGGATTTTTCTCGGTTTCTACCCAATATTACATGGTTGAAGAAAGTTGTCATTAATTTTCTTCTTCTTAACGATTTAGGACTCTTTTCTTTGTCCCAACTCAGCACGGTCTATGACAAACACTACGTGTAGTATATATATAGTACTTAATATATTTGGAGGTTCTTAGGAAACAAATGCATACCATCTCATGGCTAACAAAACTGATTGAGAACGCGTCGCGGTTTTGCGAATGTTTTTACTATTTGAAGTTTTGTTTTATCTATCCTGTCTGGCCCATTGTTAAACGTTAAACGTCCAATAAATTTCGCGACATTTGTAATTCCTATTTGTAAAGTGTGATCAGTGAATTTTTTTTGTTGTTTTTCTGTTTACCTTTTATTTTTGTGCATTGGATGCTCTATTCCTTCCCCCCTCATGTAATGCATCCCAATTGGGATACCTTTGACGAAATAAAATGTGATCTGATACGATCTGATTTGAGTGCCCTCGCCCCACTTGTGCAAAGCAAACACCGCGAATTCTCTTCGCAGACAAAATATGTATTTTTGACTGAATTCATATTCTGCAGAACCGCATGTTCAGACATATATATTCTTTCATTTCCGCTCTATTGGTGATGCTTTATTCGAACTTACGCTAGCGATGTACCTTTGACTTTTTCTACAACAGCGTATATTTTTGTTCCCCTTGCATGTCGATAGCGCTTGAGTGCACTAAAACATGCCACCACAACACTTTGGCCTCCGTCTGAGGAAACTTACACAGTGTCAAAAGTTCCAAAATTGAAGGCATAAAGCTGGTCCCACAAATGTATCTGAACGCATGTCAAAGTTGAAAAAGCCACAACCGCCACAATTCCGACAGCGCACGAAATCTTTGGAAACCTGTAGAAAACAAAAAGGCAAGGGCGTTATTGTGAAATGTTTAACAATTTAAAAATAAAGCGTGAAATATAATGGCAATGACACTATTGAGAACCAGCCTTTACGATGGTAGGCTGTTGGTGGCAGGAGGTACGTAAAATGTTGTAATTGAATTAGAAAGTCGTAAACATTGTATTTTCAGGTTGGTAATTGTGATTTCGCACGAAAACACGGGCTCATACTCCTCTCAGCGGACGACGTTGCTTTTTTTAATAACATTCTTTTTTTTTTTATTACCTCTCAAGTTTCTCTTTATACCATCATTCAGGGCAAGTGTACGGTGTGGTGGCCGGGTCAGAGAGGCTATCATCCTAGTATAGCAAGTAAGTAAAAACAGAATATCTTAGCGATCTGGATTCTTGTAATCTAGTTCTACGCTACTTCGCCGTTATAATCAGCACCTAAAACCAGTGCATGCATGCTGGTACCCAAGAACCTTAAGGGGTATATTCATACACGCACTTCTTTTACGCGTGTTTTTACCGCTTGGCCGTTTTTGATGATCTCTACTATGTTCATGCGCTCTAGCGAGTTTGAAAGCAAGTTCATTTCTTTGAGTGTAACCAAGATGCCATACTGTTGCCCAAATGTTACTTTTTTATTTTCTTAGGACTTTAATAAAAATGCTCGATGAAATTGAGACAATTTCACGCTGTGAAAATAAGGTTATTCAATTCTTAGCGTAGTGTGTTTCAAGCATCTGCCTATCTAAAGGTAAGAATTACATGCGACGTCCACTTTTTGATCCGTCTATAGATCAAGCCCAGTAAGTGATGTATACACTAAAGTGATTTAGATAAGGGTTTCCAGGGTTAAACAAGAATATTCAAAGCTGGGCACCAGAGCAACTATCTCAGCTAAAAATTGTTTTAATTGGGAGCTTTACTTTTGAGGAAAGCTTCTAAACGAAGCAATGTTACATTATTGCTCTTTACAATGCAGAGCTAAGTGAAATATCTGCAAGGTTACATTATAAGTATAGTGAGCGAAAATCGAACTGAACTTTAGCACTTGTCTCATGTACACCTATCCCTCCATTGGTCTTGATTGTTTGTTTTTTTTGTGCAATTTTAGTTCGTGCAGTTTCTACTTTGTTCTCTGCAAGCGTGCGTCTCAAAATTGTTGCCGAGATCTGCAAATACTACTCACCTAATCATGAGCATGGTCAGGGGTAATGCGATGATCACAAATATCTGCATGTCGGCCCCAACGTACCAAAAATGCTGCAGACACTGCAAAAAATATAGTATTATGATCTATGTTGTCATTACGTTCTCAAATTGTAACTAATATTTACACAGGTTACTGGAAATAAAGTGTCAATAATGTTTATGTGACTGGCCATGTTGTATGCAAGTTGTCAAATGTATGTTTAAGAAATAAAAATATATATATAGCGATTTGCATGAATACATCATGCGGGCAAACGGTACAATTATGCTGAAGTTAACTTAATCGCCACTAAATAGGGAGAATTCTACCCGGTGCTACTGCCTAAACCAAAAGTATCACCGTCCTCGTGTTAAAACAAAATAGATGAGATAGTTGTTATTGAACGCAGCAACCAGCAAGGTAGGAGACGAGTGGCGCTTGATGCATTTAAGAACTCCCTTATAAGATAAAGAGGTTTAACTCAATCTTAATTTTGCTGTCCAGGCTATAGACATCACGCTATCTGGCAGTTCGAGGAAACACAGGGCATAGCTATGTCCCGAACATTTTATTATGACCCCGCAGCAATCAGATTGCGGCATTCGCCGATACGAATACCGAAGAAACAAATCGCGAAGCAAGAAGCAGAGATAGGATAATCAAGGTCCAACGTATCGTAAGCAGTCAGTTAGTATATAGTGTTATTTTTAAAAAAGTAGTCACCATCCATACCTCAGCCTAGTTTCTCCGTCCGACCCAAAGAAACGCATTTTTGCGTAATATTTACTTCCATAATCTCAGGACGAGAAAATGTTTAAAAGTAAACGACAACTGATAGGATCACGACGAAAAGTGTCGGACACCAAGAAATTTTTAAATATCGAGTTGTGCCTACATCTAAGCATGTCTCTGGTTCAAAATGAGTTTATATTTGATTTCTGCGACTGAGTTTATTGTTTTATTATTTTAAGGGGGCGATGCGACGATTTTTACTTTTGTAAGTATTTCTTTGAATTATTTCTTGACATTCATAATCTATAAAACGCGCGTTAGCTTTTTCTTTTTTTTGTTTTTCACGAAATAACAGTTGCAGATAAAACACCTGAGAAAAACGAGCAGCCTTAACCTCCTCAAATCGCATACGGAACAAGCAGCCATGTGATCTGGAGCTGATTCTGTCTGGCCGGAGCTTATCATAGCCACGCGTTGCCCAAAGTCACTCAATCCTGGGAAAATAGCATCAAGCACTTCGTATGGTCGCTATATTGGTTTAGGCTATGGCAAATTTCTCCTTGACCTTTTCATTCCTGTTAAGCTGATCCGAATTCCGGGTTACAGGTTGTTTTATAGAGGCATTTCTTGAATACCAAGATTTTTTTCATTCATACACTGGCGAAACAAGCGCACATCTTAACTCCGCCACCACATGCGGCGTCGGTGCTTGGCGTCAATGAAATATATTTTTGTAGCGTGAGCTACACTGACCGAGGTTGAGCAGTTTCGCGTGACTGTCAAAGAGCCGTGCTGCGCAAGCGCTAGGAGCAGTGACATCACACGGCGCATAGCTGGCGCGCCGGAGCCGCCGCCGCCGCACGAGCCTCGCCCGTCTGCGCATGCGCGAGGAGCAGTTACGCCACATGGCGCACACTTACGCCACATGGCGCACAGTTACGCCACATGGCGCGCGCGCCATGTGGCGTAACTGTGCGCCATGTGCCCTGCTGTGCTCCTCCGTTGCGCAGTAGCCAAGTCTGACGCTGCACCGGAGCCGCTTGATAGCGCCTCTCATTTTGTGTTCATAAGCTCGCGCTACATATATCCTGGCACAGCCGAGCTAAGCCACCGCAATTTTTTGGCTGTCCTTAAATATGCAAGAAAAACATCATTATTGCAAGGGATTTGTGGAGATAAGCATGATTGATACGTTCAATGCATGCGCACCACCAAATTCGGTAATATTGGCGAGGAACACTTTCAGTACGATTATGCGCCATAGCCATCTTGGCGCGAGTGGTTCAGAACGACCCTTTCGAAGCTTTGAAAAGCTGAATAGACCAGAATGGCGGTTTCCATGGCAACTAAGACCGATCAGCCAATCACCTTGCGAGGTTTCATTGCCTTATGTCAGTATCTGTTTATGTATACGGGTGGCAGCAGGCTGTGGAAGGAAATGGCCCTATTTTCCCAGGATCCAGTGAGTTTTAGGTTGGCAAAGCACATGGTTCGCGTCGAGTTCCACTATTCTCGTTATTGCAGAGATTCTGCACGAGCCACCACACGAATAAATATCGCGGCATGGTTTGTCACAAGTCCAAATTCAGTGCACACGCATTGCTTGTGTCTACTCTATGAGCTGCATTCAAATATCGTCACCCCAAAAGATCCTAAAATCTTGATTACGAAATCCTGGAGTTTGTAGACAATGCGAACAATGCGATTTTTACAACTTCGTCAAGTTTTGAGTACAAGAGACTGAGAGAAAATGACTGGTTTTATTTTTAAAATTATGCGACGGCAAGAAAGGTTCATCGTCCGGGGCCATGCGTGCGAGTGTATTTGGTTTTTTTTACTTATCCCAGTAAGCTTACGAAAAGTGAAAATTATTCCTGGCCCATGTCGTGAAGGGCCCCTTTTAATGCGTCTATTTTGATTTATTTGATAACGTCCGTACAGACAGTCACGAAAAATAAATCTTGATGCTAAAATTCGTACACAAACTATTTAATTCTGTACCGTAACTAACTGAAATAAAAAAAAATTGTTAAAAGCCGCTTAATCATAGCATATTATGACATTTCTTTTTTGCGTAATTGTGTCTGCACCCCGATAATTTTTGTCTTCAAAACTTCTCGTTATGCTCTCTTTTTATCAGAAACATTGTCACGGCCTCGGGTTTTTTCTTAATTTTTACACAGAATATTTGATACTGATTCAATATTCGCATCTAATATATTACGAGCTTCGTATGTGTCGGATAAAAACAAACATTTATCGCCTTAATATTGTTTGTAATATTCCTATGGCTGGTCAGTGTCATATGTATAAATATCTTACTTCAAATTCATCTGGTGTATTGAGATTTGTTTTTCCTTCTATTCACCTCCCCATTTCCCTAACAATTATCTTGTCTTTATTATATGAAAAATGCTGCAACTTCGATTGGGTTGTTAAGTTCAAATACTTTAGATTCTGCTCCCACTATAGACTAAATAGGCACAGGACCACCAACACAAAACGCACTGCTATATTTGGTCTAATAAAGTTTAGAGTTAGAAGTATAACCACCAATAGATCAATACCATTGCGCGGTCCTGTAGAAAGTTGTTGTTATGAGTCAACACTCTCCACCAACTTGTAGCGCACTCTTGGACCATCATCTCGTAGGTTTCCTTGTCTGCCGGCCCGGAGCCCATAAGGGGGAGCAGGAATGCTACCAGCATGACGAACATCATTGGAAACGTCAACCTGCGATGATTATACTTGGTGAGACCGAAGCTTGAGCAATAGTTGGGTGATCTTATCTAAAACGTTAAGTATAACGCATACAAAAGACAACACGAAAAAAAAAAGTAGAGCACACATTTAGCGCAAATTTGCATTTGGTGTAAGTGCTGTCAAGTCTATGAAATATATAGCTGCAAAACAACATATATAGGCAAAATATATGAAAGCCTCTTGGAATATTTGCGAACGTAATACCGACATATGACGAAGCATAAACTCCTTCGCGTATAATAACAATAAAAAAGCGTTGACGCAGTTTTGTTTTTAGTTGCCCGAATGTTTTGGTTTTAGTTTAGCCGGTTACCTGCTAGCAGCTTCTAGCCAGTATGGCACATTTCTCCCACTCAATCTCATAATCATCATGTTCTTTCAGGTCAGGGGTCGGCAATCAGCGGCCCGCGAACCAATTTTATGCGGCTTTCATTACACCGCACACACACTCCAGGACAAACAGTACCTTTGGTTACAAACCTGGCAAATAGACCGTAATAACTCTGAACAAATTCGAGATTCTAAAGATTGGATTTGCTGATAAGCTGATCTCAAAGTGATAATAAGCCGATGAATGCATTTGAAGCGAACATCTTTGTTAACATTTTCGCTGGCCTCCCTGGATTGAACTTTCTAGATCTATGAAATCTCGCAGCGGCCTTGATCGAAATGTTCGCCACAACAAATATGCAAGTTTTTTGGTTTCTTTTTTTTTTGCGTGAAATTTTTTTTAGTGGAAGATTGTTACATGGTTGCTGCGTTCACTGTGTATTTAACAGGCTCGGCAGACGTTAGACGGGGCGATATTCGTCACGATCCATCGGCAAATGAAATAATATTGTCGAATTATCATCTTAAATATTGGTTTCATGAGTCATGTTCTAATTGCATATATAATAGCAATCAATAACTATGGCTATACCATTTGTTAGTATTTTCGAAAAATGTAATTTTTTTAATATATTAATTTATAAATTTTTGTATGTTTATCGGCAGTTGGCGGAAAAGAGTGTAAAGATTGACTGGTGCTTCGTCGTTTTTTATGCAGCGTCCGGTCAACGCTTCCACCAACCACACGCTTCCGAGATAAAGACTTGACCGGCACGGGTGCGTCACTCTTGTACCTTGATAATAAGGTACTCCTTGTGCGCGCACTTCTTAAATTGCCGACCAACATAAAAAAAAAAACGTATCGCTAATTTCTGGAAGACTATTGCCCTTCGCAAATCTTAGAAATTAGTCTGACCATTCTTAGTGATTTGCTTTAAAACTGCAATTGCAACATGACTCACAATGCCAATAGTAAAAACATTTCATTATGTAATATTAGTTGCTTAGCCGAGAGATCCTGATGAATATTTCCCTGCTTAACGTCCGCCGAACACGCTAAAACAAGGTGAAGGCAGCACAAATGTAAGCGTCATCAACCTATTTTCTTTTTAATATACGCAATATAAAAGAAACACCCTGTATATTTGTGAACGTCTTTTTTCAAGATGAAGACCGTGAAGTCAAACGTGGGTCTTGCGAATGACAAATGAGTACGTCCGAAAAGTTTTGCGACTCCGTGTTGGGAGCTTTAATGAAGACGTATGCATCGTGTCAAGCACTATTCAACACCCAAAAGTTTACTGGCAGGAGGCTCCAGCGATTCACGTGTACCTGAATCAAGAGAATGACTTTGCATATCGTTTTGTGTATGCGACAATGTTTTCTTTTATTTTGTGGGCTGACTCCCCCCATCTCCGTTTTTCCGTCCGGCTCGCACCATATCTGCTTTGCGACGATTTGGTCCGAGGCAGCAAACGTTTGCAGATCTCTCTTTTAAGCGATCAACAATACATCTTCCAGTATAGCCAATATACTGTTTTCCGCATGTGAGGGGTATAGAATAAAATACTCCCGTGACGCAAATGACAAAATTGACACGCATCACATACAGTACTCAACCACTTGGACGAGGCAATCAGTTGCGATCCAAATGAAGGGAAAGACGGAATGATGGAGCGCTCCCACCGGCCGAGCCATGAAAGGATAGCCGCGGTGGCTTCCACACTTTCTCAAGTGCCTTTCCGCGCCCAAGTACGAACGTGGCCAAATGCCAATCTTTCTTTTTTTTTTTTTTTTGGAGCGGTCGATGGTTTTGTTTTTCAATCAATTTGAATTGCGACTGTATACAAATTGTATAATAAATGCCCGAGAATCGCTTGAGGTTCTCTCACAATTGCCAGATTTGTCGAGTTTTACCAGCCGAGCAACTTAAACGTTCCAATTTGTCATTAAACTGATTTGTTTGTTGGACACACTATGAAATAAGTGAAAAGTGCGCGATTTTTTGAGCTTTAACACTCCTAAGTGCATATTGTGGTGTTCGGGTTTGTATTGATATTGACTTAATATGGGGTTTCGTACTTAGCTATACACATTGCAGAAACCGTTCTGATAGATGAAACAAAGCATTTCGCATCGGACCCCAACACTCAAACCTTTGATAAAATGTTGACACCTCTGTTGCAGTCAAGTTTTAAAATCTACCGCAGCGTGAAAGGCGTATGTGCGTGAATAAAAACGCGATTTTTTTGTACCGTAGCTACTCTTTTATAGAGCAACATTCTTCACAGACAACGCTCAAATCACATTTTCGCATAGTTACACATTTTATTACACATAGTTCAATTCTGAGAGAGTCCTGTGATTAACAAGCCAGAGGTAACCTTCAAGCTCAAGCGGAATATGGCTCAGACGTCGCTCGACTGTTGACGCCTGAGTCTTGTTCACTTTATTATTTTTTTTAACGAAACCTTTTTTTTATATTTTCTAATTTCTTGGTGGGTTCACAATAAAATAATGTATCCGTGTTCTTTTTAGAAAAGAGGCGCGAGAGTATTTTGTTCCAATGAATTTTTCCTTAATCGCAAGTCTACGTTATTGTGCTTCAGTAATTGTGTGACTGTGTCTGTGTACATCTTCCCTGTCCGTGTCCCTTTGAGCTGTTTTACACTTTAAAAAATAAATCCCATTAACTTGCCTGACGTAACGTCTCAGAATTCGATCGAGGAAGAAGAGGAACGAGTTAGCCTTCAAATTTGTCTTGCGGGCAGCAGCTGAATTGTACGACAAAACAAATCCGCTGTAAGAAATCAAACAAAATTGTATTTCGATTACTTGATGTTTAATCACAGCCTCCGAAAAAAAAAAGTTTACAGCAAACTAAAAGAAATCTAAATAAATTCGGTTGCCACGGCCGAGTTGCTTAAAGCAAGGTAAGACAAATTCTAGCTCAACAAGCGACAAAAAAAAAACAAGAAAAAAAAAACATTTCTATGTTTTGCACGCTATCAAGCTTTTAGGCGGAACGGGGAGCGTCCCTGCGTTAGCGTACCAAGCTAGTAGTTGTCTCTTTTACTGTCTTTCTAAATACGTTTTTCAGCGTGGAGTAAGAAAGTCGCCAGGGGTAGAATCAAAAATACCCGATGATGTAGCACGGAGTTCAAATAAATTGCGATCGGTGACGGAACTTGGAGCCCACTACCGGCGCAGCTTTTAAGGTTGGGTTGTGCTTGGCAATGTTCAAACAGATTGGAGTAGGACGCACACCCTCGAAGCGCCCTACTTGATGTGTTTAAACCTCGCCAAGCACAACCTAAGCTTGGAAGCTGCGCCTGTAGTGGGCTTGAAATTCTGTCACTGTTCGTATTTCATTTGAACCTCATGGTACATAGTTTTCTGCGTATCGTTCTCAAAGCTACAAGTCCTATCCAAAAGTGCCATCGATGGATGCAAGACAGCTCAAGTTGTAGTCTTAAAAGACACTTCATAGAGTCATGCAACATGGAGTCGACGAAATGTTGGGAGCGTAAACATTTCCCTGTCATGTCAAGTTTCATAAAGCGGAAATGGTAGGGAGTAAAAAACGAAAAGCGTAGTATAGACGTCATCGGGAAAACCCACATACAACGAGGTGAAAACTGAGAGCTGCAGGACATGCTCTGTCACTCATTTGTCGTTGAAACAAATATTTATGGCGTTGTTGTTGTGGCTACTGTTGTTCGTGGCGTATACTATCGAATCTGCTCTTCAAATAGTTCAACGCGTGGTTTGTTTATACAACAACTCTAGTTTCAACGACTAAAAGGCTCAAAGTTTACCCTTCTTTGCTTTAAAAGATGCTAACAGAAATACTCATCGTACGTTAATGAAAGCTTATTGATTTCCTGAAAAAAAGAGCCTGCACTGATCTAATGACGCTTATTTGACTTATTACTTGGGGGTTTCCCTTTTAATGGTAATTCCGATAATGTTGAAACTGTGAATTACGCCGTTTTAATAGTATGCCCCGCTTGCCGCAGAGTCGACATGGCTGTGGAAGCTACGTGCTTGTTGAACCAGTCAATTGTTAACTTTGCACCACGTGATCATGCTCTCTGCGCATACTGGGGCACAGAAGTCGGGGTTAGGCGTTAAAAGATAGTCGATTAATCGGGCCGACGAGAATGGAGATTCCACCACCCTACCAGCTTAGTAGTGACCGCCGTAAAGAGGCAATATTTGTAAACAAAGTTTGCAGAGATTAACGTATGCTAAAAACTTGTATCTTAATCCGGGATTAACAGATGTGAAGTACCTTTGTGCCATCTAGTTTGAATGAATCCAAACTGATTTTGTGAATTCCTATTGCAAACAGGACGACCCACCTTAAGAAGAAGAAGGTGACTACACTCAAAAACCCATTGGGGATAAAGATAAATGTTCCCCATTCACTCAGGCGGGCGATCTCGATGACAGAATCTGAAAATTAAGCTTGATTACATTTTTCGAAACAATATTTTTGTTTTGAGAAAGACAACTTTTTTCTTTACCACGCGAGGAATACAGGCATATCAGTTGTTCACGTTTGAATGTAAAGCCAATATTCTGTTATATGGACGCACATGTGCCTCAATAGAGTCTTACAGCACACAACGCAAAAAAGTACGGTGTTCAAGCATGCATCTCAATCAGCATGCTATGCTTGCTACGTTTAATATGGAATTAATCGAGGTTATCATTTTATTGCCGCTCGTTTGTTCAGCATGTCTGACTAGGCCTCAAAGTCTCATTTGGAAGTTTTTTGTGGCCTGGCCAAGTCATCACCCGCCAAAAAGGCCTTTGCCTTTTTGGCGGGTGGCTTTCCTCGCACAATGGTTACTTAAAGAAACAGTGATCAGATCAGTGTTTTTTTTTCTTGCTGAGCAAATAATGACGCACATCCCCGAACCATTCATCTGTTCATGCAGCGTTTTTGGCCGTCTGATACATTTCGTTTCTAACCATTCGTCTCAAGTCCACAAAATGAGCACACCGTCGTCAATATTGCAGAAAACCTCCCTCGCCTATGCTAACATGGTAATAAGATTACGGTTACAACGATGTCAACTTTTAAACTGGCCGATAGCTTCCTAGTGTGTTGGCTGCTACTGGCGCTCGAGTTCTGTTTATTGTTTACGCAGTGACTGGAAGAAAAACAAAAGTTGCCATGATGATCAGTGTTGCTAAGAAACGCCTGCGTGTCTACTTACCCGCAAAACACTCAAAGAGCCAATCTCTGCGATTCACTAAATCAGCTCAGCGAATGATGAAGCGGAAAATCTGTTTAGACCTCAAAATCAAGTCTTCGCTGTGGCATTACGCAACGTAAGCATGACGCTTTGCATTGCCTAATTCCCCAGCGTAGACTTAATTTTGAGGTCTAAAGGGATGTTCCGCTTCATTATTCGCTGAGCTGATTTTGTAGATCGCAGAGATTGGCTCCTAGAGTATTTTGCGGGTAAGTAGACAGCAGGCATTTCTTACGCCCGTGTCCCACTAGAGCGACATACAGAAACAAAAGACAACGACAAGCCTCAAACCAGAGTCTTTCACGATTTTAGACGCTCTGTAGAATAAGGAAGGCTATGCTCAATCACGGGCATCATGCACGCGAGGGTGGCTTTTGCAGGCTTGCAATCGCTCGTGCTTACTTCACGAGCGCCGAACGACTAAACGCCTGCCAAAGGTATACCATCGCGAGCATGCCGCATGGGTTTGAGACTTTTTGCTGTCTTTTGTCTCTCTCTGTCGCTCTAGTGGGACACGGGCATTAGAGTGCATATACCGGGATCGAGATGATCACGAGGTTTTTCGGCAGCGCACGAAGGGGATATGTGCTCTCAATTACCGGGTCGTGTATAAAAAATTGTTCCCGCCGTATGTGACCGCGAACGTTTTGTACAACGCTGTGCTTGGGTAAGCCCACTTTTAAACTGACGGATAGCTTCCGAGTGGTGGTCTTGAGGTTATGGAGCATTGTATAGTTGTTAATCAGTACTTACGAAAGAATCCGAGGTTTGTAAGCAGGTAGGCGTGACAAAGCACCACCCAGAAAGCCATGATGACTTTAAGACCCGATATGAACTTGAGAGGCTCATTTTGCGGTTTCACATTCGTGTCCAGCAGGATTCTTGTGTTGCCGATCGCCGAAAAAACGATCAAAATGCGCACAGGCAGCGCTGAAAACAGAAGATTGAAAAGTGACCGTGATTTGATGTAACTACATCGTGTTGAAAAAAAAAATTTGTATCTCTTACCTCTATGCATAGTTTAGGGTTTACGACTGCACAATTCTGGCTCTTGAGTTTTAAATTTTGCAAGAAACATCTAATACAATAAATGGGATGGAAAATTTCTCCAGTTGGCGCCTAAATACATTTCGTGGCTGTTTCTTTTTTTTCTGATCACTGATTTAGTTTAAGACTGGCCCAACACATATTTGGCTGAACTAGTAACTGCAATATTACAGCAAAATATTTGTTCTCGAGAATTTATTGCATTGTTAATTTTCTTTTCTCGACCGGTCTTATTTATAATTATCACGAAAGCACAAACCACCAATGCTAAAAAGTGACATCAGCAATAAGCAAGATTTCAGTATTTGTAGAGAGATTCTAACTGATTGCTACAAGACGTTTCATATAGTAAAATAAATACAATAAGAACTAACTTTAGTACTCGCTCAGCAGAACAAAACAAATAAGCGACATAAACGGCATTTTTAACTACACTTGGGGACAACGTCCTGTGGCATTTTTTAAGACATGTGAAATACGCATGTCAAGCTTTATTCGGCGCTTAAGATCGCGTATTGCCACGAAACGTTGTCTTCCACCATTGACTGTTATCTCGTGCCAGCCGGTGACGTCGCGCAACTGGAAAGCGCGGGAAATGTTTATTGGGGTTTTTGGCAGAGCTATTGTTTTGCTGTTTTCTTAATAGCTGTTTTGAATTCAGAGCCACTAAATAGCATGCCAGAGGAGCAAAGCTCAGAACACAGAAATTTCCCATTTAACGGGCAAACTAGGGCGGCTGTGCAAGCCACCGGCTTTTCTTCGTTCTGCAATCCCGTATCCAAATACACCGATAACCTTCTTTATAATATTTTTTTTGGTAAATTTACAAATAAACAAGGAGTTATTTTTGGTATTGTTAAATTTCGACAGTCACTGATATGCCCCAATATTGATTTGACACATTATTAAACACACATGAAGGAGTGACCGAAATTACAAGTAACAATTGTATGCGGAGGGAAAGTTTGTCTGCTTCTTGCGCAGGGGGATAGCGGTGACGTCAGATCGCCGAGCCCTGATTGGCTGATCGCGACCCCCTATCTGAGCGTCGTCTGCTCCTTTGCAACGTTGTCTGCTCGCAACGTCGTCTGCGTCTGTCATACCTTTCCTGCGACTTCGGAAGCGCAGAAGCTAGATTCACGAAACGATCTTACGCCAAAAATGTGCGTAAGACAAAACGTGAGCACGAATTCATATTCGCAAAACGAAATTATCGTTAGTTTTGCGCAGGTTACGACGGAATCCTACGACAGCTCCGAAGCTGTCATACGCACTTCTCACGATCAAATCAGCTTGGCCGACAGCGTCGCTCAGTTACTTGGTCGCGACGACCAACGGACGTTTATTTTTGCACGTGCTCTTCTCACGCTTCCGAACTACATGCAGCAAGAAACAAAGTAAAAAGTACTTGAAATAAACCACCACGGACAAGAACGCTGGATCCACAAACACCCGGGAAATGCTCCAACGGCTATGATTTCACTGACCCCGACCAAGCGAGCTCGGCAGATAGGCCTAGCAGGCACTCCAACTCGGCGCAGCGGTGCTCCGACGGTCCTTGGCCAATATCGTCTGCCCACGACCGGCTAGCGTGCTGAATGGAATATGCCCACGCGACCCTTGTGAACCCTTCCGGTATTATACTTTGATCGCTGACCTCAATTTTAGGTTAAGAAGTCAATCTCTTCCTCTTGTCATCTCCTTGCTTTCCGAGGCAGCGGTGACTCTCGCCGATGAAAAAGCGGTGAATCTCCGACAGACGCAGGAAAGGTAAAGCAGCCATCGCTTTGACTAGCAGACGTAAAGCGAACGACGCTAACTGCGCCAACCCGCAGACGCCGTTAAAGAGTGAGGAGTCTCGCCGCACACGAAAGAAGGGAAAATGTATTTGGAAGGGAACTTGCGGACGCTCACTCTCGGTTCTTAGCAATCAAACCTCGGCGCCTCGGGACACCTCGTCAGTGAGTCCTTTGTCATCCCTCCTTGATGAGCGTCTGCTCGTTGTTAGACAAAAACAACGTACCGCTCGAGTTATTTCGTCTGCCCTCTCTGAAAGGCGAAGTCGAGCTCGCTCTAAAGACCTGCACTTCCGAAAGTCGCAGGAAAGGTAAGACAGACGCAGACGACGTTGCGAGCAGACGACGCTCAGATACGGGGTCGCGATCAGCCAATCAGGGCTCGGCGTTCTGACGTCACCGCTACTTCCTTTCTCATGCGCAGAAGACAATATGAGCCCACCTGCAAGGCGGATATTGTTCGCGAAACAATTAGATTTCTAAATCTGGCTTGACATTTTAGGAGGTTCTACTGGCAACATTGAAAACACTGAAAAGGAGAGGTATTATACTTTACTTTTCTAGGCTTGGTGGCGCAAGCTACCGCCCGTCATAAAGGCTACAGACATTAGATTCTATGCATCCATCCATCCATCCAATGTTCTTGCATCCAACGCCCCGTCCGGTTAGACTCAAAATCGAAGCCAACATTGTCATCAACTATTAGTGCCTTAGCGCCATGTTGGAAGCAGTCAACGTCTTATGGCGGCAGCCGTATACTGCCGTATAAGTCAGAGAGCCGTCTTTGTGCAACCTCGTTTCAGAATATTTTCTTGTCCTAGTCAATCGCAAAGGGGTTCCTCACCTAACACGAATTGCATTCTACAAACCCTTGGTTGGGCTAAGAAGCTTTTCTGCCGAGATCAAAGAGTTAATAAAATAATCTAGAGCGAAAGGTCCCGTGCGTTTAGCCGCGTCTGAACGTCGGGGCGTAGACGCGGACATCGACGGTCCGAGTTGGCGGTCCCGATGAACTCATATCGCTGGCGACGCCTAAATATGCACAAAGAAGCAGCGAAACATCACCTGTAATTTCTGTAACTCGTTATTTTCTCTCTTACTTTGCAGAAAAATTCCGGAATTGCGCATTGAAATCATTAAATAAAGCTGACAAGCGCTCGAGCAACTTCAACTTGTCGCGGCAAAATGAACACGCCAGACTCTTCGTCTGCTTTCTTTTTCTGCTGTTTTGTCGCTTTCTTTCTCGTCTTTTCTTTCGGCACCGGAGATTATAGCACCCGGGATTTTCCTCGTTTTTGCGCCCTTCTTTACCCGCCTGGTCAAGAATCAGATTGTGCCGGCATATCCGTCGGAGCCACTCATGACGCCGCCGAACCGATTGCTTGAGCGTCGCCTTTTCCTGGCTCCTAATGATTGCCGGAATTCGAAAAAAAAAAAAACAATCCTGCTGGATGCATCTCTGCTTTGTCGCAGACTTTTACTGCTGGAACAATTAATTATGGCGATACTGACCATCTTAAACTTCGAGTGTCCGGAGAAACTACAGGTTGAACACGGTCCCAATGCACAGCAAACATAGCTTAACAGCGACGAATGCCTCCAACATGGATTCCGGCGGGTTCCGGCGAGATTTAAGAACCGGTACTAGCGTTGCATCATGGTCTTGTGCGAAAACCCTATAAGAACCCTATTTGACTGAGCTATCGCACTGGAGAGCGTGGGAAACTTTTACATATAGTTTTGGCATACTTTATTTGTTGTTTCTTCTTTTCTTTCAATGAATAATTTGAATTTAGAGAAAACAAATAACATGCCGGGAAGAGTAGCGCCAAAATGATCCTGCTTTTTCCTTTTCTTTTTTTTTGGGGGGGGGGGGGGGGGGGCAAGGGGCGGGGTAGGTAAAAAAATTACTGGTGCGTCTCTTGTCTAACGCTTGCAAGCATAACAATTGCCGACAACGGAGCTCAAAAACTACAAAATCTTCGGCTGACAGAAACCCTTGCCTCCGCTTTAATTATATATTTCCGAAAAAACAACATCATTAGGGCTATTCTTGCCACGTATGAAATGATAGTTTCTTGGCCTGGTTTATCATGGCTTCTACATTGTTTTGGTATTCGTAAGAAAGTATAATATTATCACCATTTCTTTTTTTCTGCCACCTCTGCGACTGGCACACACAACGACGTCGTAAATAAATTTTTGCCATAGCCGAAATTTCTGTTTCCACACTTAAGAGAACCCAAACGAAGGCTCACTACCATGAATTGTCACAAAACGTCAATCCGGAAGTACTATCGCGGACAATATGACCTGAAACAGTAATGCATGCTTAACGACGTATCTGCCAGTCTTGGAGAGAACTGCGAACAGGCCAACTTCAGTGTTGTCAACTCTAAAAACCAATTAAAAAAACTTGAAAAGTGCTGATTGTTGGGCAAGTTGGTATGGTACGTTAGAAAACATGATTGCGCTTTGAAGACAGGGACATAGGAAGAACAGACACCACAGAGCGCTAACTTTCAACTGATTTAATTCAAGAGCCTCAGCGTAGAAACACAATGCGTCAGCGCACCACATCTCAACCAATCCATGGCCCCGCCACGGACCTCAAGTACGCTAACTGCTTATCCGCCAACTCAATTGACTGTGTTGTGTCAGTGTGGCATCAATTGACTTGGCGGATAAGGAGTTATTGTACTTGGGGCCGTGGCGGGGCCACGGATTGGTTGATATGTGGTGCGGTGACGCAGTGTGTTTCTACGCTGAGGCTCTTGAATTAAATCAGTTGAAAGTTAGCGCTCTGTGGTGTCTGTTCTTCCTATGTCCCTGTCTTCAAAGCGCAATCATGTTTTCAAAAAAAACTTCGATCGAGGCTATAAAATTACGCGCACATTGTACTTTCTTTGTACTTGCAGTCTTGATGAGATGCCAATCCAGAGCCGTGCCGATGGCGACGAGGACAAGGAACGCTCCAATCATTGCGCTGCGATATAAAACTTGAAGTCGCAACACGAAGTACCAACGTGCAGAAATATATAGTATTACATTGCAGCCGCTTGGAGCCTCGTTATTGGCTTCGGGTCATCCGTTCTGCAGTCTGCCACGGTAGCATTTGCACCATAAATGCCCAGAACTGTAAAAGAAAAGACCTAACCTTATCTTTTGAATTTGTGCAGGATCAGGCTTTTAAGCGCCTCGATCAAAGGAAGATTCTAAACGTACACCTGTCTGCTGCTAGAGCAAATAATTGTATGTTTTCTTATTAGAAAAAAAAAATTAAACGACGCGGTTCATGCATCTGGAAAGGAATAAAGATCCATCTTTTGACGCCATATTACCGAAGTAATACTAAGCACAAATATTAATGCGACTATAGTCAGATGCTGCTTATGAAAGGCGGAGCGTGGCGAGTCCCGCTCATTCTATTTTAGCTCCGTAGCCAATGCGCCTAGAAACTCAGAGAGAGGAGGAGACAAGAGCGTTGGAGGGTGCGTCAAAACACCAAGCTCTGGTCGGAATGACTAGTGGATAGAACTAAAGCTAGCTGTCTTTGTCTCCACTGCACTGGTCGAACGCGGTACAAAAATGTAATAACCGGGCCTTGAAAAGCAGGAAAAAGAAATACACCTGTTTGTTATACGTGATATACTTCTTCTCAGTACCGGTACTATACGGAGTGGAAGTTTGTCTGCTTCTTACACAGTGATTGTGATGATATCAAAACGCCAAGGGGCTCTAATTGGCTGATTAAAGAAAATAGTGGGTAGACCTGAAGGTATTTAGCATTCAGGTCTATCCACTATCCTCACATATCAAAGCCAACCAGAGATCGGTGTCTTTCTGACGTCACCGCAACTCTTCTGCAAGAAGCAGGTGACTTGCTCTCCGGGAAGGATCCGATGGAGCCAATCAAGCCGCGCCAGGAAGGCATTGTCACGGGTCTATTTTTGTGTGCAGGTAGGCTGTCACCGACGTAATTATACGCGCACAAAAAAAGGCAAAAAAAAGGAAACTGCCGGATTGGTGTCGCATTTACTGCGCGTAATTCGTTTAGTTGGCAGACAGGTAAACAAGCCGAAGAACCCAGGGCTTCTTCGCCTTCTCTATCACTTGCATCCTAAAAGAGTTGTTTTAAGCACATCCTAAAAGGGTTCTTCACGAAAAACCGATATGGGGTTAATTTTTAAGCTCCCTTTTCTTTTATGCGAAAGAGTTCTTCATCGCCCAGTTGCCATGCGAGCCCGCCAGGGGGCGATATTGCTTGAAGTGAAACCGTTCTTTGCGAGCTGAAGGAGTTTCTGTGCGTCAAAGAACTATACAAGAACGTTTTTTTTAAGGTGTATCGTGATATATTTGAAGCTCAGGAACATGTCGAACTCACCCGATCGAGCAAGGAAATTAAGGTCTTCAGTCGTGCAAAGGGAAGGCATGCAGATGCTTCCCCTGTAGTCAGTGTTCATGAAATGCTCGGCGTTCTTCCTTTTTGTAGGATCGAAGCGACCCTAAAGTGCAAAATATTTGCGAACGTCATTTCACTAAAGGAGTTGGCAAGGAGAGAACTAACTCGAATTCTGCTTAAGGAGCATTTGGCTGAGTAACACTGTATAAAACTCTGCCACATTAAAGACAAAAACGACAGATGAATAATATGTTGTTTTTTTTTTATATAAAGGGATCGATGACTGTTTGAAGGGGACGGTATCAATCGGTCTCTAAATATATCAAGCTAAAAGGCATGCACAGAGATGGCCGGCGAACGTGCATTAATCGTATAAATATTTCCCGGAACAAACTTACCTAAGAAAAACGTTCGAAATGAAGAACTTGAAATCCCTCCTACGGCGGCTATGCGGTAACCAAATGTGTCCGATTGGCGCACAATACAAGTCGACAGATGTCAGCAGTGCTCTCCACGTCGAGGAAAGCGAAGGCGGTGGGGGGGGGGGGGGGGGGGGGGGGGGGGCCGCGAAGTTACTGGGCACCGCATATCGCAACTTCAGCATCGCTGATGACCCTACCTTTGTCGGTCACTTGTTTTGGATGTTTCCCTCCTCACTCGTCGAGGCGCCTCATCCAGCGTTGGATTGTAGAGTAGCTCGGAGGTTGCCGCCGAAACTCTTTCCCAAAAAACTGCTCTGGCTTAGTTCGGCTATGCCAGGATATACGTAGCGTGAGCATATGCGCACAAAATTAGAGGCGCTATGAAGCGTCTCCGCTGCAGCGTCAGACTTCGCTACTGCGCAACGGAGGCGCACAGCTGGGCACGCGGCGGCGCCAGTGCGCCTGCCATGGCTATGACGTCACTCCTCTGAAATGCGCAGACCGGCGAGGCGGGCGCGGCGGCGGCGGCTCCGGCGCGCCAGCTGTGCGCCATGTGACGTCACCGCTCCTCGCGCATGCACAGCACGGAGCACGGCTCATTACGCGAGCCACGCGAAACTGCTCAACCTCGGCCAGTGTAGCTCACGCTACAAAACGCCGGCGGACCTCTTTAGTCATCTTGCCCTCACCGTGTCAGAGAGCAACTTTCACTCGCTCTTTGGGAACTCAGCGGACCATGAAGATGACGTGCGCCCATAAGCAGCGCGAACGAAAGTTGCAGAGAAGAGACGCGGTAACAACTGGCGTGGGGATAGCAGACGACGTGTAGCCAAAAATAATTGTCGAAAAAATGAAAAAAAACAATATAACAGATTTGTGCTGTTCCCGTTTTATCTTCATTTTTTTATGTATTATTGGAACAATGAAATAATCTTGCGCTGACAATTCCTGCAGAAAAAGAGCGCATCAAAGCGCCCGTGATGTCCGCCTGCTATGGGACGTGTTGACATCTGTTGACTGTTGCGCCAAACAGACGCCTTTAATTAGCAGACGGCCGCCGTTGGTAGAGATTTAAAATTTTTTTTAAATTTCTATCTTTTTACTCAGGTAAGCTTGTTCAGCGGAATTTTTATACCCTTATACACAGTCTTCGGCCACCTTCGTGTAAAATATCAGCTCGATTAATTCAGAAACCGATATATGCTGTCCTTGAAACCAGACTTGTACGTAATGCGTTACAAGTAACGAAATTACTTGTAATCCCTTACATTTGTCAGTAATGTAGTCACAAAATAATTACATCTTTTAGAGTAATTTTAAAGTAATTCCCTTACAATTTTTACGTAACGGATTCCTTGTAATCGGTTACATTTTTTTTTTCAGGACCCAACCCCCCCCCCCCCCCCCTTCCCTCTAAAGAAAGGGTTGTTTTTATTTTGGTAAAGCCGAGCGCAGTGAAACTGTCACGCGAATTGACCAGCGCAAAGAGAGGCTTGGCACCCTTCAGCTCGGCAGAGCCTTTTTTTTTTTTTTGAAACACCAAGCCCCTGAATCTATTTTTTAGACACTAACAACAATGTCAAAACATCCAAATCAACATTTCTACAAAAAAAAAAAAAACAGAAGGGGGGGGAAGTTGCATTTGCTTTTTTTTAGTTCCTTTGTTTTTCTTTGCGATCGAAGACGGGGAGAGGAGGATACCAAGTGATTGTGTGCTTCTTCGAGAAGCTGGAGGCGGTAAGTTCACAGACAATAATTAACAATGTCCGTCTCGATTATAGTGACTACGACCTTTTTTATAATGTCACAACACGAGACAACGCTCCGTCTACCCTAAAATCCCCTGGAAGAGATGTGACAATATGTATTCGTGATGAGTGACACCTGAGACTGTGGCTTGAAAAACGGAAACTCGTGAAGTAGGAAGAAAAAGGGACAGACAACATCTCAAAATCAGCTAAAAACTTTATTGCCTCTACGCCTTATATAGATCTCCCCCGAGGTGTATATAACCTGAGACTGTGGTTTTTCAAACCACAGTATCAGGTTTCAACTATCGTGTATAACTTACACCAGGTCGCCTGCACTTTAACCGTTTTTTCATTGATAATATGTGAAGGCGTTATTGCCACTAGCATCCTCGTTCGTAGCTGCACACTTATCATCTTCTCTTAGAAAGCCGGATGTATTTTCTTTCTGTTTCTTTCACCTTATTTGACCCTGTTTTAAAAGCTTCTTACTTTTTTGTAGTCCAACTTCTAGGGTTGGCCCACTCGATTTGTGAATTCCAGCCAGGTTATCTGAGCCTCTGTCACCCTTTTTGCGAGTCAGCTTTTTGCGAGCCGTCGAAAATGGTAATAGTCTTCCCTTCTTCTACCTGTTTTTACCTCAGCAGGACGCATCCTATCACAAGGAGATATTTTTAAATATAAAAGGTGATGGTGGTTGACGTAGACCTAATATTCTAGGCTTGAGGGGAGAGTGAAATTCGTGAGTGACGCCATAGCGCGGCTTATTTAGTACTCTGCCGTTCGCTGCCTGTGGCATCAGCGGACGTCTATCTGGAGAACACCGGAGTAAACTGCAGTCGGCTCGTGCTCCGTGCGTTTTTGAACGGCACCAAGAAAGTTACACACGACAAAGGTGCGTTTACATTTCCTTGTTTTATTTATATACTAGCAACTTTTTTTATTCAGCAACGTCTCAACCAAGACTCAACCTGTTCAGAACCAAAGAAAGAAGAATATCGAGCCAAACCTTATTTATTATTTAATTATCACCTTACTTGGTCAAGTATGTTTTGCTATTGTCTGACAGTATATGCCGGTATAGTAAGATGGACATAAATCGATTCTTATTATAGTTTTGGCTAAATGTATGATGACTTCTACAGCTTCGTGATTTCGACAATGAAGAATTTTAATAGATCGGTCCGATGATTCCGAGAACGATGCCCGATACTCCGCCACTGCCTTTGCGCATGCTTCATATCGTCATCGGGGGTATCAGAGGTATCGGAACGATCTGCCAAAGCTCTTGAATATCAGGCAACGGCTGCAACGACGAAGCTTTGCTCTATCTTTGAGGCAAATAGTACTTCCATTGCTTCGCTGAAAAAGCTTAATGATGAGCATAAAACATTCTTGAGGCACAATATGCCACTCCCATGCAGTGCCTCAGTTCAAAGGGTGTTCAGTGTAACAGTCGACATATTGAATAAGAAATAACGCTAAATGTCTGACGAGACCCTCTTCCTTTTGTTTTTTAATTGAAGACAGTAATGCCGAAAGTAACGGCAGGAAAGTAACAGATTACTTTTTGGGGTAACGGTCACTTACTTTTATAGAAGGGCAATTGCAATTGTAAAAAATTACAATTAAGCGTTGAGTAATTGTAAATGTAATTCCTTAATATTTTTAGTAACGTGTACAAGTCTGCTTGAAACAGCCATCGATTCCTTTGACTCATTCGGCAGTGTGTCTCAATCGGACCTTCCGCTGTAAAACGAGCCCGAGAAATCGGCGCTTGCACAATCAAAGCTGAAATTTTCATCAAATGTTCACTGAGCAGGTCAGTTTTACCGTGCGAAATTTAAAGGCGTAGTTTTTCTGTAAAAAATTAGAGCAAAAAGCTTGCCAAAGTTGAGGGTTTGTAAAGGTCAAGGTGGTGAAAAAATGAGGGAGAGGAGAATATCAGAGCGTGTAGTTACCTAAGCACGCCGAGCTCCGATTGAAATGATGCGTCTAACGTTCGGACGTTAGACTTTGCGAGGAGCAGACGACGCTCTGGTTCACTCTCATGGAGAGGGGAGGGTGGGTGGATACAAATGCAGATAGCCTTTGCATCTACCCACGTTCCTTCCAATCAGTGTTCGGCGTTATGACGCCACCACACGTTTTCATTTCCTACCCTTTCTTAGTTCCTCACCGCATAGGTTAAAAACCTGCATGCAATCCGTGCGTTTTTTTTTCTTTTTCTTTTAAGAGCGGGCAAGATTTTGTAAGCCAGAGCAGCACTTTCATGTCTCTTGTTTTTTTAAAGATCGAGCAGGAGTTTGCGAGCCAAAGCAGCATTTTTATGCCACTCATGTCTCTCTCTACAACAACTCGGATGTGAAGACCTACATCAACTGCACATAATACATACTTATTAATATTGTTTAAAGTGTTAATTTTGAATGGCGCACATTAATGAGTTTATGCCCCAGAGAATTTGACACCATTTGCTTCGTCATTTAAACTTTATTTTTTAATCAATTCACTTTCACTTTTTTTCTTTGTCGTGCAATGATTACTGTCGCATAGGCAAATGCTAATTGCAGAAAGAAGACACTTTTATTTACAAGAAATGTTTTGCCGGTGTAATTTCGTGCTTGATGCATCTATCGTCTATGACTGACAATTGATCACCCCGTACAAGAAAGCGTCATAGGACTGTGAAGATAATTATACTTTTGGTTCTTTCAGCACTAGGTGGATGGAAGCTAACTGTGAAACAACGCCCGTGGTAGCTTTCAATATATGTTTATTACTGAGGGCTGAGTTGCGTCAAAATATAAATACACTTTTGGACGGCATGCTAGGCTCTTTGACCGTGAGCTTCAATTTTATAATTCTTCCGTTTTTTTTACGTTATTGTGTCGTCTTCTCACGTTCAAATTTAGGTATACGCTATTGCAACGTCCACACTGACAAGGTCTATCCCTGTACATTTTCGTGGCTCTCGTTGTGTTGGAGCCCGGATACTCAAGATTTGGTTAACAATGCCTTCGCTTCACTCCAGCCCACGACTTTACACTTCACAAAATGCTTCTAATCAAAAGTGTGTCGGGCAAGAAAACAACATCAACAGCACGCATTACCCTTGTAAAATAACAAATGAAGTGAGCCTTGGGACCCCCACTACGCCGTCAGTTGTGAATCTTACACAAACTTTCAGTTTATTTGGCTTATAAATAGGTGTTTTTCTATAGAAAAAATCGGCAGATATTTCTTGGCTTTTTTTTTTTTTTAAATAGGGGTGCATTTTGGTAATCTCTTTCGGACGGGTGTTAAAGAATGGACAAAACAGTCATGAAAACTGGAGAAAAATTATCCAGATGTTGGTGATGATTGGTTTTGAC